ATATAATATTGTAGTAATACTGGTAGTAACATTACTTGCTTCAAAAAACAATTGTAGTATAATACAATTCTTGTATAAGTATTATAATTATATACATTTGTTACATTTCAATTACAAGCAAAGTATAATTGTAATTTTGAATTGTAATTAATATATAAGTATATTATTATGTTATATTTGCTATTATTAATTACATTTGTTGCGACTTTTTTGTGATGACTCTCCTTTTTATCTTTTACATTGTTTTCCCTTTTAAGTATAAGTCACCTTTGTTTCATTTCTAGTATATATAGTTTTAATCTTTTACCTTTGTTACACTAGTTCTTATTCCTGACTGTAACAAAGGTGAGTTCTTACATATATATAGATAAGTTCTTATTTCTAACTGTAACAAAGATACCTTTGTCCTGTTAGTGTTTTATGTGTGTTAGTAAACTTAGAACTTAACAGAACTCATTTGTAATAGTGTTTAGCACTTTCCTAATACTGTTCCAGCTTTTTCTATCTTTTTGTTTCTATAGATTCTGACTGTATTTCCTTGTATTACAAACTATTTCTTAAGTTTTATAGTAATATACACATTTACTATACTTATTATTGTCTTAGTTGTCTTTCTTAATACTCTAAATATATACTTATTTTCTTATTATAGTGTATATGTCTTCAAATAAATTGACAAGTAATATCGAATTTTGGTTTCCTAATTAAGTAATGTTTTCGCACAGTTACTATAATACATATTATAGTTGTATTGTTTTTACATCTGAACTCTAAGTCCTACAGCTCTTTTTAGATTAGCTCTAACTAGCTACTTACAAATTGACTTGAATTTTACTAAGTTAAAATAAAGTCATTTCTCTAAGAAAATATATATTCCCCTCTCTCAAGTCTAACTAACACTCAACTCAACACCTAAACCTAACAACCTAAACTGAACCTAAACCTAATTAGAAAGGACTCTACCCTCCTAAACCCTCCTCCTAACTTCTTAGTCTGTAAACTAGTATACAAGTATTATATAAGTAGCTAGTCAGGGTTGTCCTAAAAAGAGCTGTAAGACTTAGGGTTCAAATGTAAAAAGTTAAAATTATACATATTACTTATATTGTATAAGTCTAAAGCCTCTCTCAACATTATATAATAAGATATTTTCAACCATACTATAATCTGTAAAAGATTCTAAAAACTGTAGAGTTAGTAATACATTTAAAGTATTTACACTAGTATAACTCTATCTAACTAAGGTCTTTTATAGTATAAATACTAAAGAGTAAATACTCTATTAGTATAGAGTGTATAACCTGTTTTATACTAAAATATAAAAGAAAAATAAAACAAGTGAATTAATATGTTAATTACAACTTGTAGTATTAGTAAGATACTGTACATACTCTATAAGAAAGTAAAATTTTAATTTCTCATACTATGTTAAATAACAGATTTAAGTATGTAAGGTATAAGACTTAGAATACAATTTACAGATAGGGTAAAAATTACAATTACATTTCTGACTAACATAACTTAAAACAACAGAATTGAATATGGTTGAAAATATACAAAGTAGTTGTAAGTAAACTGACTATAGATACAGATATAGAAAATAGTACCTAGATAAATATTTAGTAACAAATTAAGAACAAATAAAGTAGTAATACTTACTATCCTTAAACAAAGCTAGGTAGAGGAATGTTTTTCCAAGTTACTTATCTAGTTTTACACTAGCTATTTAGTAACAACTCTTACTATATACTAAAAACATAGAGTGTATACAGTTGAAAGCCCTTAATCATAAGGAGTGTAAGAAGAACTAAATACAAGATAGTAAACAATTTCTGATCAGATTAATGTGTATAATTAACAACTATAGTATATACCTGATTTGTATGTCATTAGAAGAATCCAGTCTCTAATGAGGATGTTACTGTCTGAAACAATATAGTCATAAAGGCTTGTTAACAGTAGTATGACTAGAACACAGTACAAGTATGAGTAATAAATTAGAGAGGATACTATAATACTTCTTACCTTCTATAGACTTTGTAAAGTAATACATTATTACAGTACTAGGGATTACATTTGTTACACTCTATACTAAAAGTAAGACTAAGACAAAACATCCATTATTCTATATTGTATAAGTTCAGACTAACAGGATGACTGAATTAAAGGTTGGATCCTGTTAGTAACAATAACTAGTTAAGAGTAATGGACCCCTACATTCTATAATCATTATGCCTGAATTAATAGTCTCTAATACCTTCTTGTCAAGTCTCATTTAAACAACACTGTAGAGAACATAACAACTCACAACAGACAATCTTATATACAGTCAAACAAGCTTTGGGTAACAAATCAAGACTAGATTGACTTACAGAGAAAGGTTTACTCTGTAAGAACAGTAGGCCTAAAGTTTACAAACACTTACTTACAATTATTATTGTCAAGTCCACAAAGGGAAGATAGTAGACCAGGAAGAACAGGACTTTCAGGAGTGACCATCTCTTTGGCCACACTAATGTATGTTCATCTTTGAAAGTCAGAATATAATTGTAGACCTAAATACTATTATTCAATACACTCCAAGTTAGTAATTTGAATAGTAAATGTACTAATATGGTGAAACTTACAACTTCACACCTAAAACGTTAGTATAAAGGAGTATAGATCATTTGCAGTGTTGCTCACAATCAATAGACTGCCTAAAGATAAGTTACAGTAAAGAAAGCCAAACCACCAGAATGCACAGTAAGAACACAGAGGCCTTCTAAAGCCTTTCTTAATTCAAGCATTTCTATGACAGACTAGTATTGTAGAGTGTTGTAGTTCATTGCTAGGAAGGATGGCAGAGAGTAGCTTAGTAAAAAGGGGGAAACAACTGCCCTGAGGCTTCCCGGCTGTCTTGCCATCTTACT